TATATTCCTCCCTTTTGCTTTTTGGTTCAGATCTGGTTCGATTATGGTTCAAGTAAGATCCTTGAATATAGTATTCTAAATTTAGGGAATATGATTCCTAGTTGGGAGAAGGTAGGAAAATTTTTGAAATTCGCCCACCCATTCCGCAACCTTTTGGCGTCCATTAGATGGATCCTACCATTCTTTCACTACTTTCTTCCAATACAAGAGCCAAGGTTGGCAGGGGATTTAAAAGCGAAGTTTTAAAATGCAGAGGCATGATGTGAAGCATTCTACCATCCCAAGGGAGACGTAAACCTCATATGCCTCTATACTGGAGGTGGACACCTCAAGTGTCTCAACACCTCCACGGTGCACCTCCAGGCATTTTCTTAGTGCATGCCTCCATATCCTTTCAAAACACTGTTTCAATGTTATAAATGGCTGCTTAATGGGTGTCAGACCAGTTCCTTGGCTCTATATCCATCATATGAGGGAAGCAAGGTCCTTAGTATGCAAATTGAACATCTAATGTAGATAGATCCCTAGGACTGCAAATTCATGGCTGACTTACTTTCTAGAAGGGCAAACAGAACTGATTTTTATCAGGGTCCTGACTTATTTTTTTTGTGTACTCAACAGGGTCCTGACTTGGGCGTTTATAATATGAAGGTTTTACTCAGTTTTTTTTTTCTTTTGATAAGCTGGCAAAAAGCATTGTATTAATAGTATGAGAATGCGAAGGGATGCAAGGCACCCTCTGCTGTACAAAGGAACCTGCATCAAGAACTACTAAAAAAGTATCACTATATCATTTACAGTGATATACAAAAAACTATCACAATATAATTGATCTCCAATCATTTGTGAAATCAGCCACTGTAACTCCAAAAAACTGCTGTAGCACTCTAGCCCACCAAAAAAGCACCTGTTCAATCCTTCCCATAATCCCTTGAAACACCCTCCTGTTTCTTTCTTTCCACACCTCTCAGCAGATTGCAAAGGGCAGCTGTTCCCATAAGATTTTCTCTTTAGCTGAAAAACCACCAACTCTCCAAGAAGATAGGAGAACAGCCAAAGAGCAAGGAAATACCCAATGCCTCAAAAACAATCTGACAATAAAGTTGAAGTGTGGGGCTTGCTCGCTGAATTAGCTACGCATTCTTTCTCTTCCATTCTGCAATAAAATTTCTATTGACCTGTTATTCATTTAATAAAGTTGAAGTCATCATTTGATTCGTTTCATCATTTTACTGACTCAGGCCCCATTTGGTGTGTCTTTCCGTCCAGGCTGTCGGCTGTTTAGAAGTCCAGCAGCCTATGTTTTCGTCTTTTCCCGCTTGATTGGGGGAAGATCTAGCCACCGAAAGACTGCGCCCCAAAAAGACGTGAAAAGCTCAATTCAAGCTTATTTCAGGAAGTTAGAAATGGAGCTTCTCGCCTTTTTTCGTCTCATCTTCACGTGGAAAGACGCACAGAAAGATGTGCCTCTAACCAAATGGTCTGTAGGCTACCAAGATCTTCATGTAAAAGCCCACTACATCTTTTAGCTGTCAGATCTTCCAGAAGATCTTTCAGAAAAGACTTGCCAAACGGCACCTTAATTTGCAGTTTAATAGACTTACATAAATATATTCTCAAATATATATATATATATATATATATATATATCCATTTATGTCACCTAGGCATTGCCCCACCTTGCTATGTCAAGCTGCTAGGCATTGACTAGCCACTTTAGCTACACTGCGTAACAATAATATTAGTATCCACCTTATGACAGTTGGGAAAGACATATCACAGATCTTAGAAGCTAAAATATCTAAAAGACATATCACAGATCTTACAATGGCAAACCATCAACCTTAGGGAACATTTTTTTTATCAGCAACACAAAAATTAATTCATTAGATTAAAAAGAGCATATACAACA